GCTGCAAAACCTTCCTCTCAATCAATGAAACCATTTATAATAATTGATATACATCCTTCCATATTAATTTTATTTAAACAAGCTTATCAAAATCAAAACAATGTTTTAATATTGTCAGATAGACCAAATAATACAGAATACACAATATCTTTTGAAAACCAAAATTTATTATTGGAATGGATCCAAATTTTACAAAATATTCAAAAAAATTATTAATTTCTGGATTTTTTTATTTTTTTTGTTTTTTCTCTTTTTATTCATTTGAGATTTTTTTTTATTTTTTTGTTCTTTTGATTTTTTCTTATTTTTTTTTGACTCTTTTCAAGTTCTAATTTATTACTTTTTGATACTTTTTATTTTTTTTTAAGGAAATAGCTCTCAATAAATTTATTTTCATTTTTAAAAATTTCTTGTGTTATTTTGATATATATTTATTTAAGGGTTTACATTCCAAACTAATTCTGAAAATACCCCAAAGATCCCCCTTTTATCTTTTTTAAGGTGAATTGGATCTTTTAATTAACGATTCAAATAATATGATTTTTTTCACAAATTAGAGTTTTTTTTTTTGTTCTATTTTGGAATTTCGATAGATGATTTTAGTAATTAAGAAATAAACCTATGAAAAAATTTTTTCAATTTTCTTTTTCAAACAAGTCTGTAACTGTACTTTTGTAATGCTAACTCTGTAAACTTTAATAATTTCTTCATTAACCAATATTATTATATATAACTGGGTTGTGGTTAGAATATAAACCATTTCCAAAATTTTTGACATACCCAAAATCAAAAATAGGAAAAAAAAACTCAATTTATTCTATTTTTCCAAACATAATATAAAACAACATTTAAGTAACCGAGTATTAATGTTTTTATAAGTGATCATTTTAATCCAAATAAAAGAAAAAAAAATAAAACTCACAATAAAAAATCTTTGTATCCAAAAATGATAAATAGAATGGTAATTAAAGGTATTCGTAAATTTGTTGAAATTTCACCAACAATTGTTGATCGATCAAATGATAAGATACTATCTACCAATTGTATGCGATTTTTCAATTTAACAAACTCAACACTAACCTTCTATCAACCATCGAAAAAAAATTCCAGATCTAATGTAACAGATACATAATTAGGAAAAAGGAAATGAAAACAAAAACAAAAAAGACAAAAAAAGGAAAAAGTTTGTAAAATCAAAATTATTCCAAATTGAATATCAAGCAGGTACTAATATTCTTTCAACTGTTTAAATTGTGTCCAAAAAATTTGGAATTTAGTTTATTTAAGTGTCTAGTAACTCTTATTTATTTTTTTTCCCAAAGGTAATAGAGTAATTATTTACACAATGTTACAATTAAACCTGATATACAACTTCATTTATCAACTTTAGAGAAATGAGTTATCATTTTTAAAATATTTTATTTTTCCAATTAAATTTCCAGTCAAAAGATCAGATCCTTTTTTGTTGGGTTTTTGGATCAAATTAGAAAAATAAAAATTTTCAAAAAAATTTAATTTTTGAAGAAATATCACTTTTTATTAATTTCTGATAGTTTTTTTTGAACAAGTAACCTTGTGTCTTTATAATTATTTTAAAAATACAATAAAAATAAATCAAATATTGTATACTTGAAGATCTAAAAAATTTGAACGTTTATTAAATTCATAAATATTTATTAAAAATCTTGAAATTTAAAAGACTTGTCAATATACTTTTTCAAATATCAAGAGTATAAAAAAGGAATTGTTTGTATTAAAATCAGTTATTTGATAATATCTATTATTATTATTTTTTTATTAGAAATATGCATTTGAATTTGTTTTATTTGTTGCAAAATATTCACAAAATTGAGATATAATTGTAAAGTCTATTTGATACATTTAATCATTGGGTTGTTAATGACTTACGGATATAATTAAGATTGTGTTATTAATTATTGATTATAAATAATCAATTTAAAAAGTATTTCTCTAGATTATAAGTTGAATTTTCCAAGTTTCAAAAAAGTATTTCGGGGGAATTTTTCATTCGATTGTTTGGTTCTTTTCTCAGATTTTTTCATTCAACCCCTAGAAAAAATAGATTTGGTCTGTTCTTTGAATCAAAAAATTCATATTTTTAACAAGTTTAAAATAATTATTGGATTATTTTTTTGAGATTAAGTAGATTTTTTAAACTTAGTTATTATAGAACCCAGTTTTTTCATTTTTAAAGTGTATTTTTGTACACTTCCTTTATATGCAATAAGTTTTCAATCTTCTTTCAAAGAAAATATTTTTTTTTTAAATAATTCAGAAATATATTGAATTTTGAACTTTTTCAAAAATTAGAAATATGGATCAAACTTTTAAAAACAATAATTCATTTCTGAAAAATGTATTAAAAGTAAGTTCTGTATTGTAGTTATCAGATTTTTACTTTATTTTTCAATTTCAAGATACTGATAATTTTTTTTAATTTGTTAGTTAATTTACTTGTAGATTTTTTTTAGTTTACTAAAAACTTATAATAAATCAAAAATAAAACCCAAAAAAAATATTTTAATATGCAGAAAAAGTCCTGTAATAAACTCTTTTTCAAATAAAAGGGTCACACCTATCAAATCATCTATACTATTGAATTTGATTGTTAATAAGATAATTATTTATTGGTGATTTTCATTTTAATTATTCATTTTTTCATTTTTTGCTTTTTTATTTTCAGATATTGTGCAGTTGGAAAAAGAAAAAACACGATAAGAATAAACCAATTTGGAAATAATTTGAGAGTATAGAAATAGAAACAGTTTAAGTTTGATTTCGAATGAGCTCGATATAGGAATTAAGAAAGACCATTATTAGATTGGCGAATGGAACAAAGAAAAGAGAAAATAAACAAAAAAAAACGATTCCAGATAAAAGACCTAGATGAATTGTGGCTTTATCTTTAAAATGAGACTTTAAAGAACAAAATTTTGGCATTTAAAGAGTTATCAATAACTTGTAAAGAACTTTTCACCAATTCACTGTGTTAAAAGGTTTTTATTGTTTTTATAATTTTTTTTCTTTACAATTTACAAAACAAGATTTCTTATTTCAAATAAAATGGCACATCAATGTTTAAAATTTTTAATTTTAATTTTTATTGTTTTGTTTTAAGGACTATCTAGTATAAAGCCACCATGGAGGTATTACGAATCAAAACATCAGTGAATTATACTCTTTATTTCTTGAGATCCAGAAGAACTATACAGCCGTTCCAAACCTACCATGAAATTTGTCAGACCTAGAAATTGACTTTTTGTCTCCATTAAATACAAAATAAAAATCTTGGGATTTACGCTATCATCTACATTTTAAGGTTTGACATAGGTTTTTTAAAAAAATTTCTTATTTGAAAGACTAGGGAAAAAAATCTTGTTGTTTTTGAAACAAATTCAAAATTCAAAACAAAGCTTCCAAAGATCCAAGATCGAATTTGATGATTACTTAAAAATGGTCTTGGCTTTTGATTTTAAGGTCTTTAGAAATTATGGATCCACCAAAAACCTGAAAATTTTTCCAAATTATTGATCATTTTGAAAGGAATATATATAAAAATTCAAATTCTCATATTTTCTCTCTATTAGAAATTTTGTTCTATTATAAAATTTCAGGGTTTGTAATAGGCTATCTCATAACCATAAAATCCTTTCATAAAAAAGTCAAGTATGATAAAGAAAACGAATTTTCTGTTTATCATAGATTTCATGGTAGGGTTGGAACGGTTGTAAAATTTCGAAAATTTAGGAATTTGTAATTTGACTGATAAGATACTTAGCTGTAAGATGGTAGTAAAAAACCGCAACCCAGCCATGTTTCTTCTAAGTCCATTTTTTTCAGAAGTTTTATTGGAAACTAGACAATACTTCAATTAGAATAAAAAACTTTGGGTTTAGGTTTTTATTATCATCTTCTAATTAAGTATCTTATCAGACAAATTACAAATTCCTAAATTTTCGAAATTTTATAGTTCTTCTGGATCTCAAGAAATAATGAGTCTAATTCACTGATGTTTTGATTCGTAAGACCCCTGTGGTGGCTGTATTTTAGATAGTCCTTAATGAGTTTTAAATATTTGACTGAGTGTTTTTTATGTTTTAAAGAGTTTCTTATCTTTTATAATGATACTACAATTAATTTGATTCAATTATAAATAATTCTTGAAATTTTATGTGCCCTTATATTTGAAAAAGAGTTTAGATTTTTTAGAGTCACAGAAAATATTTGATCGGTGGTGCACAAATATCATTTACACCCAATTACAACAGATTTGATTATAGAGAAATCTATGCTGGTGTGAATCCCTTAAATTGAAAAAAATTTTAAAATGTCTACAAGTGTTGTTTAGTTTCCGTTTAAAATCGTGTTGTAAAGTTTTTTTTGTGGTTACTCTTTGAAAATAACAAGAAAAAAGAAATAAATATTTGTTTTTTCGTTGTTATTGGGAATATGATCGAATGGATAATGGTGATACTGGCCTGTGTCACAAGAATTTTTTGGTTTTTTGTGTTTTGAATTATTTGATTGTGGGAAAGGGTTGTCTTAGGTCACTCTTTTAGTTAGGATCCTTGATTGGTCGAAATTATCTATCATATCCTTGTTGTTTATTCGACTTTATTAAATTGTCGTAGTAAAGGTCAACTTTATACATGATTGTTTTTTTACTTTGATTGAATAAGAAAGTTTGTTGAATTTGAAAACAATTCTACCAGTATTTGAATGTGAACGGGAATAATTTTGACTTTTTTTTCATTTTCCTTTTTCAAATATAGATCGAAACCACTAATCCACACCAACTTCGTTTGGGTACTTGAGTTTAACAAAAAATGGAAAATGAAGTGAAAATTATTTCTTATTTATGATTCAAAGAACAGTATTTGTTTTCGTTTTTTTTTCTTCTTGTTTGTCGAAGAAAAATTCTCTTTTGAACAATTATGGTTAAAAATTTAATGACTGCATAAAATAAAAAGTAAAAAAAATGGTCTTCGTTGGAATCGAACCAACATTATCCAATTTCTATAAGAAGGACGTTTTACCTTTAAACTATCAGACCAATTTACATACTTATTAAAACAACTAATGTTTAAATCAAATTACAAGATAATTTCAAATTCTTTGGTTTTCGGAGAATCTTAAATTGATTAATGATTCTTGAAACTCACAAGGTTCTTGAAATTAAAAACATTTTTAAGTTACACTCTGAAAAAAATTATCAATTTAATCAAAAATAACAAAAGACAAAAACATTTACAAAGTACTAAAAATAGTCAGTTTATTTTACCATTTTGAAAAATTTTAATTGTGATAACCTTACTGTAAAAACATTTTTTGAGTACCACCAGATATTGAAATTTTAAACCCCAAACGTAGTTCGCTGTTCTATTCATATAAGGAAAATAATAAAAAATTAATTAAGAGTTGAATCTTTTTATTTCAATTTTTTGGAACATTTTTTTTTGATAGAATTTAAAATTTTAATCAATATATTTTCGATCTAGAAATGTGTTTACTGTTGAGAGAAAAATGTTGGACACAGAAAAATGGTTGGACACCATTTTTAATTGTGAACATTACTGAAATTGAAAATCAAATCCTATTGATAACTAGGTGAATTTTATATAAATCCAGGTTTAAAGCTGTTACAAGTTCATTAATCTGGGGTGTGTGTAGAATACTCATTTGAATGGTTGATAACTCAAGTAGATCATGCTATTTTAACAAAAATCCAAGTTGTAGTAAAGTTTACTATTAATTCTGAAAATGGTAATTTTTAAACTTGATTTAGATTATAAGAGATAAGGTTTTGAAAAAGTAGAATTACATTAATCGTTATTCTAATAAGTAGATTATTGATATTTTCTTTAGTTATTTCACAAATGATTGAAATTAAAAATCATTTTTAGTAATGTTCCCAATTAAAAATGCTGTCCAACCATTTTTCTGTGTCCAACATTTTTCTCTCTACAGTTATACGAATGGGTGAAATTAATCAAAGTGTCAACCAAAAAAATAGACCCAAGAAGGTCTGTATTTGAAACAAATATTTTCTATTCGAAGATCAACAAGAAAGATCACCTTTGCAAATCAATTCCATGAAAAAAAAAAAAATAAATCGATAAAAGACTATTTTTGAACTTTTTTTTTCTTCTGCTTCTTAATTTGTATGAACCCAAGCAGTTTATAACCTTGAATTTCTTGCCCCATTACTATTTATTATTATTTTTCCCAAAAAACATTTTTTACAAATTAGCTTTTGAAATTCAATTCAAATATTTTTATCAAACAATACCAAAACAAGGAATACTATTTCAAAAATTAAAATAGAGGAGTTGAATTCTTGGAATCAAAAAACAGTTAGAAAATATTCGACCCAAAATAAATGAAAAAATTTGGAAAAAAATCAATCAGATTCAGAATTATTTTTAATCCTCTTTTTAATGGAAAATAAATAATTATAAAATCAAACGAATTTGATCAATAAATCTTTATTTCTGAAGAGGAATTTCATAAAATTTCTATATTTTCTCAAACCCAAACAAGAATTAAATGAATTATAAGAAAAGTTGGATTTTAAATTCATTTTGGAAATTCTTTGGAAATAAACAGTAATTTGTTTATCAAAAATTTTATTCAAAAGTATTTCTATGAAAAATTAAAAAATAAAGCCAAAGAAAGAAGAAATAATTATATCACAATGCACAGATAAGATTAAGAAATAAATTTTTTTATTTATTTTTTCTTGATCAATATTTTGATTTTTTTGAATTCCATTTATTATTGTGTATGAAAATATAAACTAAATTTCATAATAACTATCCGAATGATTTTTTTTTTTAATTTTGCTTTTAATTATATTATTTTTAGAGGAAAAACAAAAATTTCTAGTTTATAGAACTGAATATAATAATCGAAATTTTGTAATTATAATTCTAAAATTTCAATTAGTAAAAATATTTATTTACAAATTTTGATTTTTAATGTGCCAATCATTTTGAAATGGACTTTATTATACCTCAGATAATATTCCACTCTCGTTTTTATTAAAATATCAATGTAATTGATGATTGAAATGATTTGAAGAATTCAGTTATACATAAATTGTGCCACCCAAAATATGAAAAATGTTCTTACTACCATAAATAAAATTGAATATTTCCGGTTTTTCAATTTTTTCAGATTTAATATAATTTCTCTCTTTTATTATCTTTATACTTTTTTAAATTGATTAAAAAACATACTGATTCAAGATTTACTTTAATTATTATTATTTGAAACTTTTAATAATTTCTTGTTTTTTTTTCTCATCATCTTCCCTTTGTTTAACTTTTTTTCTTGTTTTGATTTTAAAAAAAAATCAAATAAAGCTTTCCAGAACCTTATAATGGAAACATTAATAAAAACTTAGATTTTAAACTCTAAATGAATTCAATTTTTCTATAAAATAAGTAATTAACTTCTTGAATTACTCAACTTCTAATTAATTAAAGTAGCAAAACAAATATCTTACCTGAAAAAAATACACCTAAAAGATTTTTAATTGTAAATATTAGGAAAATTGATGAGTTATTTCTATTATTTTAAATAAAATCCTTTTATCCTAGAAACAAACTTTTAAAATTATAACTCATCCACTTATTAGAATGGTGATTAATGAAATTATACTTGTTCAAAACATCATCCAATCAATCAAAAAACAAGTATAAAAATTATCATTTTCCAAACTCGAATAAACCTTTATAAAACCCGATTTTTTTTTTAAAGTAAGTTGATATACTTATACTATCAAACAATTACCTGAGTACTCGACAGACTACCTACTTTAATGAACTTTGCAAAGGTTTATTAATTGACTCATAAAAAATTTGAATTCTTTATCAGAAGGATTTCATTGAAAATAAATGAAATTACTCATCAATTTTACTAATAATTCATATTTAAAAAACTTTTCTAGATTATTTTCATACCTGGTATTTTTTTCCCTACTATATAACAAAAAACTCGAATTCCAAATTTTTAACCCACCAAAATTCAATTTTTGAAAAAAAAAAAACTGTTATTTAATCAATTCTAGAAGAAATAACAAAATTAGAATCATTCACTAATTGAAATATTAACACTTATTTATAAATTAGAATATTCACAAAAACAAAAAATTAATAATTATCAATACAAATAAATTATGGGCATGTCAAAAATTTTGGAGATGAGACTAACAAAACAATTGATTAGTAAACTTGTTTAATTTTCTATTAGCAATTATTGATCGATCAAAAGCTTAGACACCATCGACTAATTTTATTTGAGTTCTTCTATTTTGAAAATTAACCCAACTTTAACCAAATATCAACAACTTGAAAAAATTTTTTTGATCTAACGAAACAGGTTACTTAATTCAAAAAATTAAATGAAAACAAAAAAACTAAAAAGATGAAAAAATGATTTTCAAATTTTTCAAAAATCAAAATTACTTCCAATTTGAATGAAATTGTATTATCGTGATTTCTTTGAAATGTTTTAGAAGTGTGGAAAATTTTGAATTTTAGTTTAATTAAAAGATCAAAGTTTATTATTAGATTATGCTTTATTAAAAACCTAAAAAATTAATTTGTAATAATTTCTTAATTCCAGAATTTAAAGTAGAAGAAAAATAAAAAACATATTTTAATCATCATATTGAAGATTTTTCTATTACATGAAGAAACTGTATCATCATCGTCATCATCATCACTGCTACTCTCATTTTGTTTTTCCCATTTATTTAAATAGGAAATTCTCCAGCCAGCTTCACCACAATAATAAGGATATTCCCAATTTGTTGAATCAAAATGCTCGACAAGCCAATCATTAAAATCATTTGCAGTACTGTTCTCTGAGACTGAGATGGCGACATTATTTATAGAGCACCATGGGAATCCACTTGTATCTGCTGTTCCGTTCAACCACGCTTTATATGGGAAATATGGAATAATAATGAAAGTTAATATTACTGAACAAAAAGAATTGAAAATTTTGAAAAAAATACACCACTCTCCCCCCAAAGTGACATATATATGTTCTTTTGTTTAATTTATGGAATCAGAGATTTTTTTTTTTAAAAAAAGTCCTTGTTATGGGGGAATATTGGTTCGGGGATTCTCATCACCATAGATTTGTCTATAATTAAAGTATGTTATAATTGAAAGTAAACGATTTCAGTGATCCATTGTTTAAAGGGTTTACATGGTTCTAAAAAATCTATCATAAATATTAATGAACAATATATTATTAGATTTTTTATTAAGGATCGCAATAAAAAATTTTCATCTTGGGAATTTTTTTTTAATTCCTTTTCCAAATCTAAAAATAGAAACCCAAAATAATAGTATTCCTATAACTAATAAATTATATTTTGAACCTCCCCAAAAGTAACTAGTTTTTTCAATTTTTTTAAATTTTCAAAGATTAACTCAATAACTGTCAACATAAAAACCTAAAAGGTTCATTACTTTACTTTCCTTTTTTTGAAAACTAGTTGTATTTTCAAAATAAATTGAACAAAATTTTCATCCAGCTCCAAAAAAACAGATCTATAAATCAGCTAACATTTCAAAATTTTAATTCTCTTAAAAGAAGCTTAAATTATAGATTTCCTTTTTAGAATTGGAGAATTTGATGATTTTTTTTAATTTTCTTGCTGTGATTTTTTTGAAAAGCTGAAAGCTTGAGGAAATTTTGATCTTTTTATTTTGAAATTAACAGTATTTCGAACTAATTGGAAATAATTAGTTAAAATAATCTATTGAGTTAATTATTTATGATTTTTTAAAAAAAATTAATTTTTTAGCAAATAATCTACATTTTGGGACAAATTTAAAAAAAGATATTTTGCATCTTTGAAGTCTGAATATTGATTACCCATCCTTTAAATTTGTGGTGAAATGCATATTTTTTTCTAAAAATATTGGGTTTTTTATTAATAAAAGTATCTTTTTGAATTGATCTTGTAAATAAATATTCCTATTTGACTAATCAATTTTTTAGAGACATTTAAACCATGGCTCACTAAGGTGACTA